AAATCGATCGAATTCCAAAAAGATTTGATTAATTCGATGTCAAATCAATTCTTTTCTTTCTCTCAAATATTAATCTAGCATCTGAGAGTTTGAGAAGATATTTATGTAAGAACGGATCTCAAACTATATATGTCAAATCATTGCTTGCGAATAATGTGTCTATTCGAAGATGTCTCTTTTCAAACAATAAGTCGCTTCGACAAATAATCAAGGATAATTGTTTCATCTTTTGTCCTACAATCTTAAGGCAATGAAACATGTATAGATCCATAAACTTCCAAACACAGTCAACTCACAGAAATCCTTAGTCGAAGGTGTAATAATGAGAGCTGAATCAATAAGACTGTTGTAAGCGAACAAAAAGTGATGTTGACGTCGATAACTCAATCTTATGCATATAGTAGGAGTGCAAAAAGAAAAATGAATTTTTTTTCATTGATGGATTAAAAATTGGCTAAACAAACGATAGACATTCTTTGTAATCTTTTCCATCTCAACATGTTTGTGAATTTTGCACGTTTCTCTCGATAAAGGCCAGAATGAAATATTAGATCGGTAAAGATACGTTTGACTTCGACAACCAGAAAGAAAAATCCTTAAGTTCACATTAGTACTAGTTGTCGAAGGCGAAAGAATGAAGCATATGGGTGTGATAGCATCGTACACTTGGCGCAATACTTTGATAACAAAAGGTCAATTGTAATCCTTTCTATAATCATAAGAAGAACAAGTGTAATACTTCATATTCCATTTGTCTATTGATCGATTTCGTTTGTGCGCGTAAGAATTCAAAAACTTAAGCATAATAGTTTAAATCTACATAAATGAGGTCATATGTACATAACTATGACTAAAATATTTACTAGACATTTGAATAGATTTGTTGGTACATCTTTTTTTTTACTTGTTTAGTACTCGACATTCATACGATTGTTTCAATTGGAATGTCTAAAGAAAAAGTTGCTACATCTGCTTCATCGACTCGTTCTTCTTATCTTAAAGGTCGTCACTTGATTTATCCTCTCGGTTTAGCCACATCCTTATTCTTTCTTTGGGGATTCTCGTATGGTCTTCTCGATGTTCTTAACAAATACTTCCAGAATGTGCTTAAAATTACCAAACTCGAATCCACTGCACTTCAAATCGTCTATTTTGGTGGTGGTTATTTCTGTTTCTCACCCATTGCTGCTGAAATTCTTAAACGTAAAGGATACAAAATCACCATTGTCATGGGTCTTACTCTTTTTGCTCTTGGTGCTATTTCATTCTGGCCTACAGCTCATTTCTCTACTCTAGGCAATGGCAAAAAAACATTTATTGGATTTATTGTCTGTACTCTTGTCATTGCTTGTGGTCTTGCTACGTTGGAAACTTCTGCGAATTCCTACGTCACTATTATTGGTAATCCAAAATCAGCTTCAATGCGTTTACAATTTTGTCAATCATGGAATGGCGTAGGATCATTTATTGGTCCACTTATTGCTTCGAAAATCTTTTTCTCAGGAACGAGTTCTACCAATTTGAAGAATGTTCAATATGTTTATATAGCTGTTGCTTGTACTGCAATCATAGTTGCTTTTCTATTCATTTTCTCGAAATTACCTGAAAATGTCACAAATGATCAGCAGTCTTCAAGTATTATTGATGAAATACATAGTAAATCTACACCATTGTGGAAACAATTCAATATGATCTTTGCATTTGTTGTCACGTTCTGTTATGTTGGTACTCAGGTGAATAAATTTTCAGAATCATTTAACATTTGCTAACACTATTCTTTTAAAAGCGATTGAAGAGTGTGTTGAATTCCTTTCGTGATACGATCTTCTCATGATGATTATATGTAAATGTTATTTCTTTCATTGAATCTCATAGTATTTAGGTAACAAACGATTCGTTTTTCATTAACTATGCAACAGAAAATGCTGATTTCACCGATTCTCAAGGATCAAATCTTTTATCTTATGCTCTGATCATCTTCACTATTGGTCGTTTTGTTGGCACTATATTGGCTCATTTCTTTCAATCCGACTTCATTCTCGTCATTTACGCCACTACCAATATTGTCCTTGCAGCTTATGTTTCGACTAGTCATGGTCGTACTGCAGTGATTGTCCTTATGTCATTATATTTCTTCGAATCACTGATGTTTCCAACAATTTTCGTCATGGGAACAGCAAATCTTGGTCGACATGCTCGTCGTGGGGCAGGTGTTTTGATCATGGGTATTTCTGGTGGTGCTGTATTTCCACCAATTCAAGGGATCATTGCCGATCGATATTCGACTCGTATTTCTTTCCTAGTACCCATGGTTGGTTTTATCATTGTTTTAGCCTACGCTCTCTCTTATTGGATTAGGAATGGTTTACAGATCAAGCGTTCATCTCGATCTGCTGCTGATAATCATGCTGTTATTCCTGCTGGAGCAGATAAAATGACAGTTGATAACACTTTCGACGTACAGATTTCTCTATCACGTCCAATCATGGCTGAGAACACAGCTAATCAGGTTTCTGACTCATCTCCATTCCTTTTACATGTTAAACCCAACAATCGACCGCCTCAGGGTAGACTCTCATCATTATAAGGCCTTCTGAACAGCTCGAATGAGAGAATATTTAACATATATTGTTGGGAGAAAAATCCCTTGTCATCTATGATCTAGTTTTATGAATGAATAATTGTTGATTTGTTTCTATAGTGTTAAACAAGTTTTTACAATAAAAATCAAGAGAATGTAGTTCTTAGCAGTCAATCGATTCTTCTCAAACAGATTATAATCATGTTCATGGAAATTTAATCGAATGCTTTTAAGGATAATCATAGAAAACTCTTCTAATTAAAAAAGAATATAGAAATGAAGTTGAAGTCTAAGTTAGAATTAGGTTGGGTTGGATCGGGTTGAGTTGGGTTGGGTCAAATCATGTCAAGTAAGAATATATATCCATATGATGCGTTATATTAGTTTCCAGGAAATTCAATAGGTTTCTGGACACCAAACCAATTTTCGGAAACTGCATTTCGTTTCCCTAGTGGACACACTAGCCATAATGGACATAATGGCCCACTTGATGCCTTTTACGGATTTCCTAAGAGTTAAATGGCTTTTCAAAACCAAGTAAGTTTCCGCAAGCCCAAGATGACTTTCCGGAAACCAAATGAATCTCCCAAAATCAGAAATGAACTTATGGAAATCCAAAAAAAAAACAGATTGAAAAACCGATTTCAGCAAACAATCTGGTATCTATCGATCAAATATACACTGAATAGCTCACGGACGAACAAGCCGCGTTCGTCGATGAGAGTGTCACGAAAAAGTCAAGTAGCATCTATAAATGTAAAACTTCGAGTTTCAATTAAAATGAGTTTTCCAGTTTCCACACAACAACTACGACACTGTAGAGGCTGATGAAGGTATGCAGTCAGAGCAGAGAGGGCGCAGCCATCGATGCGCATAGCATGGCTTGTCAGTCTTGCCCAGAAATCCGTATAATGTCTTACTTGAATTTCCAGAAAATCTCTTTCAATTTCCAGCAAACTTATTGCAATTTACGGAGACTTCTTGTACTTTCAGTTGATGGATATATAGGAGGTATACGAGGTATAAGGAAGTATATGAGATATAAGCTGGTATAGAAACTAATCCAGCTAATGGACAATACTTTTCATCAACATCCTGAAAACCAGTAACATAAAACATGTGCCAACACACAGACCACCTCGTCAGGTGCGCGTGCCACAAAGCGATGCTCAATCACATCGCAACTGGTGCGGGTGCCACAAGAGGACTGGCCACAATACGATACACATCACATCGCAGATACTGCAGATACCGCGGAAGGACTGGCCGCGAAAGGTCTAGGGTGTGTGTAGGCGCGGATGTGGAGCTCGGGTGCGTGAGTGAGTGAAGAGATTATACGCATCCTCACGAGCACAGCCACAGCCACATCCCACCCGCACTCACACCCACACCTCGACCCAACCCAACCTAACCCGAAATCGAGTCATATATGATATACATGTATATGAGCGAATTGTAACTTTTTGATACTATTGGTGCAAAAAATTGAAAGCGGATCTAAACAATGTCTGATCAGTGCCTTTTATTAGACTCTATGTCTATGTTACACAGCAAAAGTTCCCCAACACTTTATCACATATTAGCGGAGATACGATATATTTTAATGCAAATGTACTATAAAAACTGTTGTTTTAGTGGAAAATGCCCTTCTACAGCTCATAATGTAATGTAAATATCTCAAACATGATATGAGATTGGGGGCTGGATTTTTTATCGGGCATAGAACTCTGAGAAGTATATCTACAGTAAAAATTTGAACGAAAACAAATGAGCCATTCAGAAGTTATTTACATAGTAAATTTCAAAAAGTCGTTCTACACTTTTTTAAAAAGAAGGTCGTTCTACCTTTTATCATACATTGTAAATTTCTCGAGAACAATATGAGATAGACCGGTAAATTCTTGACTGCTTATGTAACTTTTAGAACTATATCTTTTGTAAAAATTTGATTGAAAACAACCTAGTCGTTCAGGAGTTATTCGCATAGTAATTTTCAAAAAGTCATCCTATAAAGTGAGTGAAACTCGATTTTTTTTATTGAAAAGGAAAGACATTCAGAAGAATTTTCTTTTATCATTTTATTGGTATTTCAGTTGCCTTTCTCTTGCTTACCTTTGATTTTCTTTCATTGTCACACAGATGAAGCAAATTGAACGATAAAGTCATTCTACACAAAAATGATAGAGTGTCTGTCATTAAGTGTTCGGGGTAAATGAACAAGTAACGCTCGTTCGAGTGACTCGCTTGACCCTCGACTGTATATTCAGTCCTTTCATATTTTATAGTGCTTTACAGTCTTCAACACAGCTAGTAGCCAATACTTCGAAAGAGTGAGTAGGTGTTTGTACGTTGGTATTAGCATCAATCGCGTTGTGCACAATGATATGTGAGTCCGGATGATCATTTTTGTCACGAATACATCCAATCAATTCGACACCCTCACACTGATATTCAATCAAAATCTAAAGAACTAAACTATGGCGAGGATACCCACATGTAACCCAACAAAAAGAGCTTTTATTCAGTTTGCTGAGAGGCAATAAAACAAAAAACATTTGTGACAATTTTGTGAAAACGTGCCATACTCTTTAAAACTTCTACTAAAAATCCACTCACTTACTAACGCATGAACTAACGATACTGTTTACTAGACAGGTAATTTGAATATATCAACATACATGCAGATATGTGAATTAATAACAATCAAAAGCATATACCAAGAGAAACTCTAGTTTATTTCATTCATGTCCACTGCTGATACAACAAATATAAATTTTTCGAATGATGTTTTCTTGTCCGATGAATTATTTAGCTATTGTGTCTAAAGACAAAAGTCGTTTCTCATCCTTGACTAGAAATAGTTTTTTCAGCTTTTTGCATCTGATATTGCTTAATCAGGCCCATTTAACCTCGACTATTGATGATTATTCAATGAATTCCAATACTTTGAATTGGCACTTCTGCAGACGACCCAGTACAGTAGCTAGACGCTCCCCGACGCCCCTTTGGGGCGCCATTCGCAACTAGCTGCTGCCACCTTTGATCTTACTTTACCCTGACATAAATCTTTTCACTTAAATCCTATCAAATTCCAGATTGGTCTTACCTCGAAAACTGCTAGACTTACAAGCTTTTCCAAAACAGCTATAAGCATATTTATCACGATTCTAACAAAAATATAAAATAAAAAAGTTGAATATCCCACCATCATGTCCTTCTTTCCCCACTATTAGACGAAAATTTCGATCAGGATATATCTTAAAGCCTGACAGTATTCTCAAGAAAACTACAACTCTTTAACTACTAACAACGAACTCATATAGTCTCCAATTCAAGATCCAAAATGTCTGACTAACTAGAGTAGTCCTACACAAGGCATCCCCAGTTAGAGACTCAGCTAAAAACAAGTCTCATTCATGGAAACCCAGTTATAAAACGGTTGATTAAGTGGAAACGTATCACACACGTCAGATTGACTGAATTTTCAGTCTGAAAAACCGAATTGGTTGAAAATCACATCAAAAGCAGGAGCAAGAAACACTTCGCCAACATTTTTATGGCGTTTCACCTTTCACTCTGACGAAAACAGACAAAAATTGATTTTATTTCATATAACCCTTGCTATACTCGAGGAAATTTTATTTTCTCAAAAAAATTTTCCCCTCAGCTCAAAAGAACTCAGTTAAAAATTTCCAAAACTGCCTTCAGATTTGAATTCCCCGACCTCGATTACCTTTTGTTAAAGTTTTATGGAAAACACTAATAATTAACGATTAGTTAATAAATAATAAATAATTAATTAAAATTAACCTCGGATTTGAAATCCCTACCCTCGATTACCCTTTGGTCAAGTTTTATGTAAAATACTAATAATTAATGACCAATTAATAATTAATTAATAATTAGTTAATAACTATCTAAAACTAACTTCGGATTCGAACTTCTCACCCTCGATTACTCTTTGGTCAGGTTTTATGTAAAATACCATGAGTTAATGATTAATTAATAATTAATAATTAATTAATTAATAATTAGTTAAAACAAACCTCGGGTTCGAATTCCCCACTCTCAATTACCCTTTGGTCAAGTTTTATGCACAAGCGGATGTTTTTTTGACCCTGATGTTTTTTTGACCCCGATGCAGACACAGACACACACACAACCATTTTTTTTCATATGACCCTCCTTACAGTCGAGGGAATATGAAAAGAAAAAGAAGCACATACAAAAGATATATCATTCGATAGAGCATTTCAAGCTATACAAAACTGACCATTCATTATATTTTTTCTCGTTACTTTTATACTTAGAAAATATCATTTTATTAGTACGTCTCCATGTAAAACACGGTTTTTTGGCAGTATAGACCTAATAACTCAGCGACTGTAGGAACTAGAGAGCTGACATTTTGTATGGCAATGGGACGCTCAAAGACCAGTAACATATAAAAAAATTAATCTAAATCTGATTAGCTGAACAAAAGTTATTATCGAAATAAAGCTAAAATTTCAATCGTACCAAAATGTTGCAATTCACTCATATATACATATATATTCTTACTTGATCCAACCCAACCCGAAATCGAATCATGTATTATATATATATAAAAATGGTTGCTATTATTCGACAAAAATATAAATAGAGATGTTTTATATAGACATTTTGTTGATGACGTAATATCATGCCTGTATATGTGAAAATTAGCACTGGGCATTGTCGCGTTAATAATGAGTTTATGTCAAAAGCACAATAGCTGCAAAAAAAATTCTTTTTCTGTCATTCTCAGTGACTGAATCATATTTGATTCAAATTGTTTCACAGGATGCTGTTCTCACATCTCGAATTAATAAGTTTTTTAAAAATTTCTTTATAAATAGATGATGTTCCAAGTAATATATTTACTAATATCGCTTAAATACAAGAATGATCAATCCGTGGAAAATTTCTCGACTCAAATATCTTAGCAAAAGGATACTTTTTACGAATCTATAGTTTAATGAGTGCTCTAAATTGTATAATATATTTCTCCAAAATCGAATAAAATCGATCAAAACTGTTCTCGAAACTTGAATTCTCTTTTAATTTAGAAAAAATTTCTAACGAATTTCTCCAAAATGAGAGCAAATTGCTTAATAGTTTTCTTCGAAATTGGATTTTTCTGCTTTCTAAGAAATACACTAAACAATTTTCTATACATTCAGACAAAATTCAAGTTTGGAGAACGTTATTAGACAATTTTCTCCCACATTGTAGAAGTGCATTTAATAATTTTCTCCGATTTTGGATAAAGTTTTTTTATATATGCTTTCAAAATCGGAGAAAATTCAAGTTTGGAGAATGCTTTTAGGTAATTTTCTCTGATTTCCTAGAAATGTTTTGATCAACTTTATCCAAAATCGGAGAAAATTGATCCCCAAAATTTCTAAATTTAGAGAAAGTCCCAGCCAAAATTTTCTAGAGCAGAGTGGGGGTACCCCCCCCCCCCCGCCCCCCTCTCCCTTGTCCTCCCCGGTAGCGCCGCCCCGGCTTGCATTAACGATACTTTATATTTTTATATTTTTGTTTAAGAAAATATCGGATATCGATACATCATTGTTATTTCTTTATTAAAATTGGCAAGATAAAAATTGTTCTGAGAAAATTTTTCATCCAATATTATCTACCTTGAAACTTTTTCTATCCAATTTGCGTCGACATCAACCAACTTATCTCAATCAAATTATGAAGAAAGAAAAAAGAATAACGTCAAAGAATGTTCAGACACAAGTTGAGTTATTTTTATAAGTAGATGAGCTTATGTTTACTGAATAGATTACCCTGTGATTTAAGCTGATTCTTTTCTCAGCACTAGTTATTTTGATGCCATTCTCTCTTTGTGATGGTTTTTGATAAATGTTTAGTGCTACTTGCACCTTGATTTTATATATCTCTAAGATGATTCTCGTTCATATACGTCTTCTGTTAAAAGAACTATGACTTTGTGTAGTATTTAATATTAATATTTAAAATCTCGTTATGCATTTTTAATGTTCTAATAGTTCTCACATCTTGTACATTTGAAGCACAAAACAAGTCACGGTTCATATGACATCAATTTTTTCAGTGCTCAATTAATAAAGGATTAATCAGGGATATTAAAAAGCGAACAACCTTGTCCAATTGCCATAGTAAAACTAATTAACCCGGATGTCAAATTTGATTCTATTATGTAGAAGAGCACTCACACGGTATGTCTATTTCTAGGCATGACTGTCAACCATTTAATACTTCAAAGACGCAATATTCTGTATGAGAATTTGTAGATTAAAAAAAAAAAAATATATATATATAGCCTCATAAGTTAATATAAAGATAGTGCCTCTAATAGAGAATGTTGCATACATTAATAACCATACTGTGATGATACACATCTTTATCGTTCAAGTTGACCAGTTTATTTCTCTAATCTCTTCGGCTCATCTTCTTGTATTGCATTAGATCTTTCTATTAATTCAATAGATATTCACTTGACAAAATGGCAACGGCAGCAACAATTCTTGGAATTACAAACTGGTGTCTGACCTTTATTGCCTTTCTTATTTTTTTATTAATTATCGTTATTTTTATTAAACATTATCATGAACTACGTACTATTTCTATGACATTGACCTGTAACACTTGTATAGCTGCACTTTTCACATGTATTACAGTCTGTATTATGACTAGTTCAAATTTATGGATGGGATTTTTAACTTACAATGTTCACTTTTGTTATGTTTGGGGTTTACTCTATGATATTTTTGAATGTTCAATTTATCATAGTTGCTATTTACAAGCATTCTATCGATTATGTCGCGTTGTTTTCTATAAGAAAAGAATTCTTTTATCATATTCATTATATATCATACTCATGATTGGTCAATGGTTACTCATTATCATCCTTCTTTTACCACCAATTTTATTGAATTGGTATATTCAATTACCAACAGAACAATATTGTCTTGTTCCTTATACAGATGTAATTGCAGAAGTCTATCATATTGTAATTCTCTATGTTATTCCATTACTATGCATTGGAATATCCTATCTATGGGTCACAAAATTTATTCGTAAATCATCTCGTGCACCAACAACTTTTCTTGCAACACAACAACGACAACGAAATCAACGAGATTTAACGATCATCAAACGTATGGTCATATTAGTATCAGTATTAATAGCATTACGCTTTCCAACAGTGATTTTCATGATATATGCAATTAGCATTGGTCATTTATATTCATTAACTTTCAGCATAGTTGGTTTCTTTACATCAACATGTCTAATATTTATCGGATTAGTCATAATTTATATCACACCACCAATAAAAAAACATTTATTTTTATGTCTAATGCAACGTAATAATCAAGTAGGCGTTCAACAACACTTGAAAATAACAATGGACATGGAAATAAATATCACACCAATACAACGAAATCAATTGAGGACAGTTTCAAAAGATATTGTTGCTATTCAAAAACCTTAATCGTTTGATCAAATGACAAGTATCTAATGATCTTCTTACAAAAAGAATGTATCCATCAAACTTTCAGTGCTCATTATTGTGCACATATTACAAATATAATCGCGTAATACAATTATGCTTATTGTCAGTCAATCAATGAATCATGGTGTGAGTGTGTGGGTGTGAGTAGTAGAGCCCATCGGGTAGTGTCCGGATCCGTTTACAATTTCTTGGACTCGGATCATGACTGAACCCGGTCGATTAAATTCTTTGGATTCAAACACAATGATAAATCGGTTTAGATAGTATAGTCAAGAAGAGTTCTGTTGTTTTTTATCCATTTTCTAAATAAATTTGATTTTTTTTCATTATAAAACGAACAAAACTTTAGAAAAAATTCAAAACGTATTATGTGCATCAAAGTTTGTTTCAGACCCGAACCCGATATTGACTAGGGGTAGCACTTTAACTATACTTTAAAACTTTAGCTTTAATAAAGTCCGCATTAAAGTCGACAAGAAGTACCCTTCGGTCCTCAAGGCCTATACTATAGGGGTGCTGTTAGGTTCTCAAGTGCTATACTATACGGGTGCCTGTGTAGTATAGCACTTGAGGACCTAAGGACACATGGCACCCCTTATCGACTTTAATGTTGACTTTAATAAAGTTAAATTCTTAAAGTGTTTCACTTTAATTAAAGTTTAAAGTGTTTTTAAAGTTAGAGTTCCACCGCTAATCCGGATCCGATCAAAGAAAAAGTTTTAGACCCGGGCTCAGACTCAAACGAGTCTGGGGTCCGGATCCTACCCGACGGGCTCTACCACTCACACCCCCACGCTCACATCCATACCCTCACCTTGGTTGTTGATGCTGTTGTTGAAGTGCAGTTCTTGGTGGTTTTATAACATGCATATGCTCATCTCTTTGTCGTCGATGTCTTTTGATATCGGAACCAATTGGAGTATCGGCTCTTGTCTTTTTAACTACTTCACTTGCTTGTTCCCTTTTACTATTCTTCTTAACTAATAAAATTGGATTACCGTCTGATACTCTCGAATCATTCTCAATCGAAAATTTCTTTTTCTTTTTTGATTTTGATTTAGCTTTCTTATATTGGTATCTTTCTCTGATGTTTTTTTCTTCCGATGTTGGTGAATGACTTGTATCTTGTAATTCTCTTTTCTTACTCTCTTCTGCATCTATATCACTACTATTATTACCATTCCATGTGTTGTTGTTATTATTATAACTTGCCTCTTCCTTATACTCAATGTTACTATTCTCATTACTTTGACTATCTGTGTCACTAACTGTCATATTCTAAATTGCCGAATATCTTTCTCTAAAAGATTTTGCTTGTAGTATTTCTTCAGCGCCTATCATTAAAATATCATCCCCATCTCTCTCTCTGACTTTCATTCTTTGCAACTAGCTACTTACTCACCAATTTTTCATGTCTTACTTTTTTCTTCAAAATGTTTTTGTTGATAATAAATGGTCGCACCCAAACCCATGCTCATACCCTCACACCTAAATCCGCACACCCTAAACTGTATACAACAGAAATGACTTAAGCAGCATCATATACTCGTTCTAGGGCTACAGGAACATAGTTTGCGTCATGAAAAGTTCTGATTATATTGTTGGATAGGACTCCTGAAGTTGTATTTAGAACAAGAATTGGAACTCTGGAATAGATTCTTAGGTGAATAACCGCTGGTATTACTCGAATTCGCTGCTAACTACATCTACATGTTTCCAACCAGCTCATAAGATCGTTGAGCAATATCGCAGCCGGCTGACTGAAAATTTTTCGGAATGATCTGTTGCGTATCAATGAATCTTGATCTTGATGTCTCATAGGCTTATCGCCCGTTGGGGCCAACCACCATTCGAACGATATTTTTCTATCGGTACCTGCTCTGCGCGAGGTGGACTAAGTCCTTGGCAGCTATATCCGCACCATTCTGTGATATCGTCTAGCCATTCCCTGCATGGTCGTCCTCTTCTAGATTTTCATTCGTTTTGGAGAATACTATGTGTTTTAGAAGTCTAGTATTATCCATTCTGCAGATGTGCCCAAACAGCCTTAATTTTCTTTTCTTAATGATGTCTATTATTATTTCATGAACCGCTATTTGGTCGGGTGTGGGTGTGAGTGTATATCTCCATCGATACCCACACCCACACCCTCATCATGGTAATGGAGGAGCACATGTTCATAAAGATACCCTCGATTATCTTGGTTCAGAAGGAGTTACCATAGTACCACAACCACCCAATTCTCCAGATCTATCTCCCTGGGATTTTTGGTTATTCGACTTAATCAAACGAAATCTAACTGATCAAACTAATTCCGAATCATTACATCACGCTATAACCGACTTCATGTATTCTTTGGATAAAGAAGAGTGTAGAAAAACGTTTGATAAATGGATTCAAAGAATGCAATTATGTGCAGATAATCAAGGCAATTACTTTGAACATTTAATGAAATAAAAACTTCTTGAGCTTGTTTATGTATTTTCAATTTTCTGGTATGCTAATATGAATAAACGATAAAGTCTCAGAAGAAGCAAGGGAAAAAAATAAAGGAAAGAAAAAAAAACAAAGAAAAGATCAAGAAAAGAATGCATATTGAAGACAATATGAACTTCTGTAACAGTTATGCATGTTAGGCAAACTAGTCTTATTAGGACTTTGTTGTTATGATGTGAACTGAAGTATGATCAAATAGCATAGAAAGAAAGAGCATTTTTTTCTCTATCATCCTATGTAAAAAGAAACTTTTATCAAGCTTAATATGTGGTACTAAAATGTCGTTGCCACTACTTTTGGCTACCCCTATATAGTTTACGTTCTTCCGATCTAAGTCAAAGCCATTTGATGAATTCTTTAGCCAGAATGGAATCGCGATAATGGTTACTAGACACACCCACACCTACCACTGGCAATGGTCTATTAAAGAAAGTTATGAGGCAACAATGACTTTCAATAGGATAAAATTAAAGTACAATCGAACACAAGATATATAAACTCTTTCTCAGGTTCATTCTCAAAACACTGGTAAAATGCTAAACATGAAAAACTCTGTTTACCATTTTAATTATAATTGTTAATATTTTGCTCGTTATAATGAATATATTAAACAGACTGTGTAACGAAAAGTTCTGATTGACGAAGCGATACATTGATGAAAAAATCGTCGTTTTTCATGTGAATACATTACGCATCATTCTTTCTAGTATAAATTGAATAACAGCTTGCGTATTGAACAAAATCGCTGCTTCAACAGGATATCGACATAAAGGACACTTATTTCCTACTCTTAAGGCATCTAACATACAATGGTAATGAAATGTATGTTTAGCTTCACACGGCCATTGAGCGAAGCATTGATTTAATCGGAAGTCGTCGAGGCAAATGCTACACTGTTTATCGAGCAGATCATTACTGACTATTTTCCAACCAGCTAAGCGAAACTGTGCAATGAAACGAGGCGATGCTGGTGTTGAGTATGACAATACTCTACTAATTCTGTTTCTGTACTGATAATGCTGATATTGAGTTTCCTCTTCAATCACACGTTCCAACTGACGTTGCCGTTTTTCTTTCTCGTAATATATTTCTTTGTTTTGTTCCCAACTAAAACAAAAACATCGTAATTCGAAATCTTTTTCTCGTCGAAATTCAAATAAAAGTTCAAACATACTTATGTCGATATTGATCATTGAGAGCTATCAATCGCTTATGTAACCAAGGCGCTGGATTGAAATTAATACTATGTATACGTGTAGGAAAAGAAACGATATGAGTGAAATTACTATTTCGAAACACAATGCTATCCGATCTGATGTTACTAATAGTATCGATAGGAATAATAGTGAGCGGAGTAAAGTTATAAAATTGTCGAAGAATTTCCTCAGAAGTTTCGTTAAAATCTATCATCGACATTACGAGATATTTGTCGTAGATGATAAACAAACAATCTTGATAATTATTTTCGTAAGTCGTATTTAAGAAAAGTTTGTCTAAGTGTTCTAAAGAGAAAATATCTATTTTTCGCATTTGTTCGTCAATAGAAGAGTGCAAAATTAGCCATGATGAGCAAACGAAAGAAACGGCGGCAAGAAGAATACGTACAAGATATTTAAATACAACACATATGCATAGAACAATCATCACATGAGACGTGTAAGTAGTGTAGGAAGACGAAGCATCGAATATTCGAACATAGTTACTAGAGTTATAGTATTCGTCTTCGTATCTCAGATAAGGATATTCATTTTTGGGTCTATAGAAATATCCAATTAGAATACCACATTTTTTTATTACTTTCTTGTTGAATATTGTTGTATTTTGATCATACATCTGTTGAATTTTTTCGATATGTATTGATTTTTCGAGCCACAGCTTAAGTACTGTTGAAGAAATGTTAAGTTGTCTGACAATGCACAGAAGTGTATCAAAATTAAAAGATTGAAATTGATATGGATAACGTATTTTATAGTAGGATTGTTCATCTGCAGGAAATTTAATAAGCAATGCCTTGCCTGGTGTATCAATTGTTGCTTCTATGACTTGATTAAATGTATATAACGATTTCCCGTACCAAAAATTGTCTTGAAATTTTCGAATAGTATTTTCAGTCCTTTCATCGATTGCATTTTCACCCAGTTCGATTTGAACATATTCAGGTCGAAAGAGAAACCAACGAAATGAAAATGATTTATATTCCAAGAATTTATAGTTATTTTCTAAATGATTCTGAAATTGATTTAAGTCCATTGAAAATGGACCTTTCCATGCATTGTACACTCGATTAGGACATTGGTATATCGATAGCAGAAAGAAAAAAATTATGGATAGCTTGCATAAAATTTGAATGCGTTCAACAAGTATATTCCAAGCATCTCGACGACGTTGGTTATAAATACGTCGTAACAACGATGAGCAAGACGATTCTTCTCTCATAAGTTTATTCGAAATGTGTGTGATTTACCTATAAAACATAGAAAACAAAATGCATTTAGTTGATAAGGCAGAATGGGTTGCATCGGACGTTTTATCAATATTTGCACATAATCATAAAAGTTCTCTTTACAGTAAGATGGGTGTGAGTGTGCGTATTGAAATAGACAGCACAAATCCATACCCACATATTGACATCTACAGCCATAGTCACATCCATACCCACAATAGATATGTACGTAGAGTGATAGAGAATATCAAACTCTACCAGCATGTATAGTCACGTTTTTTCAGAAGCTATTTGCCCATTGATATTAAATTCAAAGGAGCAATTGGGAAAGATACAAGTGAAGATATAAATAGACAGGACGATAAAAAACTTCAAGCACTTTCAGACTATATAATTTTTTTTCTAAATGTATTTAGCACATCGACTACAGTTATTTTGTTTAAAGAATATATATTTAAAGCATTAAACAACGAAATTATATGAAATACAATTGAGCTTTGTTACTTATTGAATAACTGTGATAGCCGTAGAACATGTTCATTTTGAAAATGTTTTAGCAAAATTGAAATTAGAATACTCATTCTCTAAGAGCAAACAAATCATGCAGTAGGTACACCAAATCAGTGTCCTTATTTTCACAAAATAAAAACATTCTCATACTATCTCATATTAAAATGAACTTTTCTATAACAAACAATTTTTCGTCAAGTATGTGGGTCCACACGAGTAGATGGTGTATGTCTAAGTCTATGCATGATGAAAACCAAGTATACCTACGATTTAAATGAAACAAAACTATGTGAATGTTGTTTTCATGTATGATCAAATTTGTTATGTATTTATCTTTGATGAATCATCTTGGTTTCTTCCAACTTATTCTTGCTGTCGTTTACCATGCTGTGCATGTTTGCCGTAAGATAAGAAGAGGGACGACTCTGTATGCAATCGTCATAATGCGCGTTCTCCTCTTTGATTATATGATTCACATGTTTTTTTCAGACGCCATGCACACACGACACGAAATTTAAGTAACATATTTTTGTCCTTTTTTTTTACATATGGTTTGATCTGTTGATCAAAACAAACTGAATTATAGCTTTTTTATATGGCTTAGTTTAGTTGAAAGAAAGGAGAACTAAAAAGAAAACATTTTAAAAGAAAGCTACTTTTGCCTGTGAACAAACACATAGAAAAACTTCGCAGATACTTTTTACTATTATCCTATGCTCCTTTAATGTTCTCGCCTCATATTATTAAATTCTGATCAAGATATTGTTTTCCAAATATCACTTAATACATTTCTTTTCGACTTCATTTAAATATACTATATGTAAACTAAGCCATTGTCAATTCATGTTAAAAACTTGCTAGTGCAGCCCCTTTCAATGCTAAAATATGGGACTCACACATTGACTCTCACAAATTTTGATATATAATCAGGAATCATAAACTAATTTATTTAAAAAATGTGAAATAAATGAATGAATTTAGACTATAACTATTTTTAAAGTTGATACGTGTACTTTGAAAGTTAATCATTTCGAAAACGTTCGCGTTTGTAATTGATTTTTTAACAGTTTTTTTGAACCGTTTAACATCATTATACTGAAAAGCTTATTTATATCATCAAGTACATTTTCAATACATAATTTCTTTTCTCCTAATGGTAACATACATGCCGCATACTATATGAAACGGGTGTGGGTGCGCGAGTGTGGATCTGGGTGTGGATGTGCGTGTGAGTATGGGTGTATGCATGTATGTACGTGTGGATTGGTTCTCTTAACACACCCACGCCCACACGCTCTTTATCAGAACTCAAACAACTCTATTTGCGAGTATTTACATTTGATTATCATCTACCGCATGATGCCGAGTGGCTCATCGATTTGAAAGAGCGCAGCGTAAACAAATAAATCGAGGCATCATCGTACTGGGGTGCTTGTCGTTGGCAATTACATTGTGCAAAACGTATGCCGACAGGTGACAACACTTTGCATTCAGCAACATTCGCTCTTTTTTATTATCGAACTTTTTTGTTTGTTTATACTCATTGATTTATTTCACGCTGAAATATAGATGTTTCAGATTGAAAATAAAATTGTGTTTCATAAAAACAAAACAAAGCGGTGAAAACATTTACAAACAAAAGTTTGTTGTCATAATCCATAGCAATAAAATCAATCCATATCGAACACTACTGTTTTGTCGATACCATGAATGTCGCCACTCTGTTCGATTAATGGTAATATACGATAATGAAACGATAGATTATTCGATAAGTCAACAATAGTGACATTTTTCTTGCTAATAAAATACATAAATTGTTTATCAACTGAAAATGTCCAGTCCATGATACTAGTGAAATTTGGAATTGGTAGAAATAAATCCCATTGATAATTTTCTGGATTTAAGAGACATATACCACCCAAAAAGCAGTCACTTACTGGTGCATTTATCACTGTCGAAAATGCAAAATTACGTAATAAATTATTACTAATTTGCTTCAATGTCCATCGACCGGTTTCAATACTAATTGATAACATGTGACGTGTTTCATTAACTAAATTGTAGAGTATCTATATAACAAACGAGATAATACACCTGTTGTTATTTTTTTCTAGGTATACAAAACATGAAATACAAACCACATTAAAAAAAGGTTCACGCATATTTAAATTCAAAACTGCAAAACCTGTTTGTGGATGTAGTACTTGATACGAACCAGCAAATGTCGTGCCAAAATTGACAATATCTATGCAAAGTAATACAGTAGCTGTATTGTAATGCAAGATTCATTTGCTAATCCCTATCAAGATCGAAACCTTATCTTATCTTTCACTATCATTTAAAAATTGTCCTACACTGAATACTAGCTAATCTACGTTCTTCAATTGTGTGACAGGTATCTGTTAACATGCGATCGAATAAGTGATTATCCTAAGACTTTAATCAGTTTGGAAGTATTTGTTTTTGTTAACAAAAAATCAAGAAAATCGATGTCTGTGTGAGAGCCATAGGTATTCTATCAGTTCATTGCGCATGCTGATGTGATCTAAAAGCCATACGGACATTTAAGAAGAGTGTGAATATTAGGGTATATATTTTATTTTCTCTATTCTAATTTAGACCACATATCCAAACGTTTCTGTTTAGACACGTTTATACAGGACTGGTTGGAGCGTAGTGACGTAACCAGAAAAAAGTTTCAGGAGAGAGGGGGAGACGAAGGTCAGTCCCCTGGCCATACATGTAGAGGGGGCAGAGATACCTCTGGTCATATTTGTAGCGGGACTGAAATCATTTTTAAGCAGGACTCAATGGTTCGTACAGAAAGCTGAGCTTCCTCTAGCTCTCGTTTGGTTACACCACTACTCGAACGAGATTGGTCCCCAATAATCGGAAATTATGATATGAAGACTATGGAACGACATGAGGTTTTATAGCAATTTGGAGAGGTGAGTTAGTTTTTCGCCAAAATTCGGAATCACACGATAGTTCTCATGACAAAACTGTAAAGAAACATTTGAAAAAAATTGACTTCACGAAAAACAATAACTACATGAGTGTAGGCGCGTAAAAAACCCTCCGCTTTTTGATTTCATCCCGACTTTAGTATCTTTTATTTTACCAAGAGTCTTTTTTTGAAAAGTTATAATCAGTAGTGTGGGTGTGGGTGCAAAAGGAAATGAAATACACCCACACCCACACCCTTTCATGAATTTTATGTCAAAAACACATGATAAAACTAGCTTCTGTAATGATGGAACGGATATTATTTTTGAAGTTTTTTAATTTTATCGATGAAAATAAAAATTTTCATTGATGAAATTGAAACAACATCAAAAGTAATGTCTGTTTTATCATTTTAAAAGCATTTTTTTGTTTTTTAAGTCCTTGGATAGATTTTGATTTGTCTAGTTGAATATGTATGTCAAAACTCAGCATTTATCTTAGTTACGTTATGTTACCAAAGAGCCGGTAATGGGAAATCATATCTTATGAAAATACTGATTTTCTATAAAGTTTGACTAAAAGTTTTTGAGGTCGAAGAATCTGAATCACAAGACAATTTTTCTAATTTTATGAACTTGAGAATTTCACTAGGAAAAGTCTATTTTTTCAGGAAGCGGTTTCTCTACTGTTGTAAGGACAAACATAATGTTGTCTGCAACGGTCAGGGAGTTTGATAGAGCACTCTTTTATATTGTCCAAATAACACCATATTTGTCCTTACAATAATGGAGAAAAGCTCTCTAGAAACATAGTCTTTCGCTAATGAGATTCTCAAGTCTATCAAATTCGAGAAACAGTCTTTCGATTCAGATTCTTCGACCTCGAAAATCTTTGATCAAACTTTATTAAACATCATTATTTTTGTAAGATAGGGTTTTCTTAACGAAAAAATCAAATCCACAAATTTTCCATTATCCATTACTCTAACAATAGATAACCATAACTGATCACCACTAGTAGTGGATCGATGGTACTAATCTCACCGATCTATCGTCACCGTTACATTCTTAGTATCATCTGATCAATTTGTAGACCGTCCTACCATTCAAGGAAAAACAGATTGACAAAGAAAAAAAATTCACCTTGATTCCATTCACCCGATATTGCATCAAACACATATAACGATATAGGATATGAACCACCAACGTCATTTGGCATTGTACCCAATCCCAATATATACCTGCTTCCTAATGGATGCATTGGTTGAGTGCATGACGTTTTCATCATTACAGGCACTAATGATTGAGATACCTGGTTGAGATTGATAAGATTTGCATGAGAATCACAAGCTGTAGTCATAATAATCAACGGTGTATTTGCGTTCTTAAATCCAGCTACAGATCCAAATCCATCAATCACATTCAGTTGATGCCACTGAGCCATTTCATTTGATATAGCACGACCACCGGATTGATCAATATCGATTCTGTACAGCGTACACGTCTGATTAGCTTGGGAACAAGCCAGTGAAAATAGTGATTCACCACTGGCACTCAGCACAATCCAAGTAGTGAGAAAGAGAATCGAAATAAGACCGTCCATTATGAGATCAGTTTAACTCAAAATTAAGCTCTGACGATTGACGAAACGAAGGATTCAGGAATAGTTTTTATTGCTGAGACCTACACCACCTGTTCAACATTACACTGAAGCACAGAGAATAGAAAGATAACATTGACGACATGTTTGGTAATATGACGTACAACATCGCAAATAAAACGAGAGCATCAGCATACACATGTGGCAGACGAGTTTGGAATCTAGCTGAGATTGGAATAGCTATTTTTGATTTTGTAAGAAAAAGTATTTTCCATATAGAAATAAGTAAAATTGTTTATTCATAATTTAAAAATCTTTTTATAGTTTGTTTAATAACAAACATATATGAAATTATTGTTTCTTTTTATGAAAATAAATAAGTAGTTTTTTGTCAGCGAGAAGACATGGAGACATTGAGTGACTAGTTAAGGATATAGGTGACAGTGGGGGTGTAGGTGTTGGTGTGGACGAAAAGAAGACTACAACTCACATCCAGATCCATACTCATACTCCACATTCCTGTAGACAATTGTACTTTTCTATATTCTATTCATAGGAAATATGAAAGATATTGTGAATTATTTTAGGCGAAGGATGAACAACAAAATAGATAATACTAATTTATTGTGTAATAAAGAAAATTGTAGAAATTCTATTCGAATTAGACAAGGAACAAGATAGTAGAAGGTTCGTAACATAACATTGGCAAGTACTGATCATTCCTTTAGACGACTCCATTGATTTTTTTTGAAAAATAAAAATATTAACCCAAGTAAAGTCAAGTAGGCCATCTACTAGGGTACATCTCTTATATAAGCATTCGATCAAAATACCAAGAATCTGACATTGTCCTGAAACACTCGATCGATCGGACTACTACGCAGTAAGGTGTAGGTGTGAGTATTGATTTCACCCACACCCGTGCAGTAAAAAAAAAATTCGACAAAATGTTGTCTTTGAAAGTTGTAACTCTTGGACCGATCGATTGTATCTCATGTCGCAAAAACAATGGAGACTATTTAAGATAATAAAAATATCTACGTTTTGTAGAGAATTTGATAAAGAATCCTTCTATAAAAAAGTTTTTTCTATGCTGAATTTTAGATGCAAAAAATGCAAAATACCGAGAGCTTCATTTAATTTGGGACACCTTTTATAAGTGTTTGAAGTAATTAAAATAAATTGTTAAGATGATCGCAACAGAAAAGATGAAGAAGAGGAAAGTCGAGACGATATTGAGAGTCGAATCATAAACATCTAATTCGTGGTGTATGAGTGTGAATGTAAGAATTGGCCTACTCTGACACGCGTGTCCGCTCTCTCGAACTTCATTAGGCATCTTAATCATAAGAATGTCTTTCGATGGAGAATTCTATTAAAGTAGCTGTGTTCGACATCTTCACTATTACATTAGGATGTGTCACTGTTTATTTTCTGATGCGAAAAAAGATGCGTTTGAAAATTTTATTTATCAAGAAAGAAACAAAGAGTTCTAAATGAAACTATTATTTATACTGCTCTAGCATGTTGTGCAGATATTCAGAGGATTCGTGTAAAATATTCGAATTCTGTTTTTGTGTTGTCTGTTGTTTCTAATGTTCTCATATCTTCCATCCTGGTCATTAAAGCGCGACGGCTTCTTTTTTTGGAGTATTTGGCGTAGAATTGGATAACTTATTGTTGGTGTGTGTGTGGCCTTGGATGCTGGCATTTTGAACATGAATAGATCACAGATCTTAAATTGGGCTGAAAGTTTCAATAAAAACAAAAATACTTCCTTCCTCAGATATTAAATGTTGAAGAAAAAACAACTTTAAGAGTTTTTTTGCAAATGAAAGAATTGTTTTCTTGAATATTTGGTGGCTCAAGGAAAAAACATGTTTTGATTGAAACGTTTAGAGCATTTTAAGATTCACAAAAATCGATTTATGGAGAAAATTTGAGGTAGAAATCCATTTATTTGCTTATCATATAAATAGGATGATTCTTTCAAAAATTTATCAGAAAGTGTGAATGTAGCTAAAAGATGAATACAAGCACACTCACCTACATCTTCATGTATAGAAAAACGAGAAGAAAAAGTTTGCTTTAATTTTGGATTATTTGCACTTGATTAGAGTATTTTATTTAACAAATATTTAACAAAGATAAACAAAAAGAAATTGTTCAACAATTTATTATCTTTAATCTCGAAAGTTATATCCAAAGACGAAATCTTGATAATTCGATGTCAATTATACTACAAGGAAAACATTTTTGAATCATAGAACGATATGGTTCGAGTTTTCCAGGATCAATTTTTCCATGAATATCAAGAAAAACAAATTGTTTCAATTGTTCAACTAATTGACAAAGATCTTGTTCAAAAATATTTACATGTTGAGCTAAATTAAAAGTTTATTTTTCTTTTTCTAAATGTTTTGTTTTTATTTACATACCTATCGATTCAGATGTTTGTAAAGATTCCGTCCATCGTGAAGCATCAATATAATAAAAGTATCCTGAATTAATATTTGGTCGAACTAAAAACAAACAATAATCTAAATTTATTGTTGTAAGTGAATTATTTCATAGTCATGATAAATAATAATAAAACTGAAGAGCAGACTTAAAAATATATAAGTACATAGCAGTACAAATTGATTTTCTCATTCAGAAAACTAAAGAGCCGAGTAACTAACGAGAGAATCTCCCAGGATATCCTGATCCTCGCCTTGTATCTCAACGAATTGTAGTCTATAGATACTACATAGTCTTAGTCGCGTCTGTTGTGCGTTTTTATGGACATGCAGCTCTATAATAGAGTGATGTCAGAGTATGAAAAAAAAACGCTTATTCTGTGCACATCTAGCTTTTTGTCTAAAATAAACTTACTAGATGTCCAAGGAAAATCATCTGGTCGCCAAAGATGCAATGTTTGTAAATGAGGCATATGAGTACTGAGAAAAGGTACAAGATTTTTGCCAATATGAATTGAGTCATTAGAACCATAATGACAACTAGGAATACCAAATTCAGCACACTGAACAGAATTTAATGCATTTGTTTTTAATTCATTCGACGCCTAAAAATAAAAGAAACAAATGTGTACATAATTTCGAACAAGTTTTTATTTCATTTTGATTTCTGAAAACATATACATTATGTCATGTAGAAGATAAGAACAAAAGAACTTCGTTTATTATTATGTTCTCGTCATTTATTAACAGAAAATTTTTTTTTTTGCTGAAACTCAAAGTAAATTGACAAATATAATAGATACTTACATATTGAATAATATGATAAAGCCATTCAATTTTTTCAACAAGAAGATGCTTAAGTTGAACTAGCATTGAAATGAGATGAGCAAATACTTTTGCACGTGCTTTATTTACGTCCATTGATGTATTACGACTTTCTGGAAAATAATTTTTTCAAATTAATATATTTATATATGTCAAATACTTCCAAAGAGTACATATTTGGACCCATTGATAAAAAGATATACTATGTTTTTACTATTGACTGCTGAAAATTTTCTTTTAAATCAAGCCATGGGTCCTATACGGAAAAATCAAGTTTTTCTCTACATTTTTGATCGAAATATCACTATAACTCTATATTTATTGCCCTGCGTGCGTACACAACTTTTTGCATCCGGACTTGGATCGTCAGATTTTGTCATACCCAATACCCGACCCGGTCGCAGGACACTACACTATTGTCGATTGGATTTTAAATTGTGATGATTTTGTGTATGCTGAAATATAGCAAAAACTTCGTGATTACATCTACTAAAACCTGGAAATCTTAGGGTAGGACAAAAGTACGAAAAGAATAAAGGATATGAGAAAGTCCTACCTTGAAGGAGTCTGCTTACAACAACGAATTTCATTCATTAAATCAAATTAAAAGTATACATTGAGAAAGAAACGATGAATCAATCTATTCAATATTTGATATCACTTACGCGCATAGAAAAAGTATCCATTATTTTACGAAAATCATAATCCTAAAAATGAATTTTTATTGTAGGATAGTTTCATTTTTTGTGAACAGACATTCGCCTTTTTTTTATTCATTTTTCTCGCATGATCCCTAGACTGAAAGGCTAGGGTCTAGAAACCGTAATTCACTTGTGCCTGTCTATCTTTCTCTAACAAGTGCTTGGGACAAATGACTATAAAAATACAACCATCTACTTGTCATTATTCCGTCAGTCTAGGGTCCAGTGAATTGACCTTCGATGTCGATTAACATTACTTGTATTTAATGACAAGATATTCATATAAGCATATATTTGAACAAGTATATGTCAAATACTTAGTATTTGTGTATTTGATAATATTAATCAAATTAAAAGAAATTGATACATACTAATCATAGGACTTTGACAAAATCCCAAATCAAGTCTTGTCACATTTCGAAGTTGAATATCGGTTATTTTACGTTGACCTATTTCGAATGGTATTCTTAGTGATACTGCCAAGTCGGATTGATCAACATCTTTATAACATTCTATATAATAAAAAGCAAAAAAACAATTAATATATTTTCTCATTTTTTTCTCTTAAATCTATTACCGAATTTTATGTCTATTCATGGTAATATTTTTTAAGATGTGAGTATGAAGTGCTCTCATTTTCCTGGTGGTCGATTTAGGAATGATCGTCCCATATCAAAAAGAAAATTTTCAATTTTTCGAAGTAGAAAAAGCTTTAAAATACTTTTTATGATCATAAGTGTTCTTTACCTACGAGAAATCGTCCCGTATCATAAAAATTCTAGATTTGCCACTGTCAACAATCGTCGATTTCTGACCAAAGGTATTAAAAATTTTCTCAGAAAGCTTGATATTTTTGGAGGGCAGCTTCTCACTGAACCGGTAATCCTGATTCAAACCCTTCTTTTTTTATGTAACATAACCTAGCAGAAATAACATAATATAGGGACAAAAATTAGGAATCACTTCTCACAGATACCTCAACTGCACAACCCTTCCTATTGCAAACTGTATATAAATAAGAACTCGTTATAATATATAAACTATTTACTTATTGAATTTAACCATGTTTCATAAAACAAATAAAATTCTAACCTGTATAAACTTTAATATGAGAAACATTTGGATATATTTCATCCAATCGTTCAAGAAATAAATAAAGAGATGGATGCAAATCAATTGAAATATCTTGAATACGTGGCCAAGTAAAAATATTTGCATAAAAACTGAAAGAAAAAGTTATATTACAAGAAAGCGACGTATGTTCTTATAAAACAGTTTATCTTACTGTAAGCCATTCATAAATTGAAGTATATTAACATTAGAAGAAGAAAGATGTTGATATGACATCAATGGATCATAGAAACAAGTTACATTTGTCCATTGATGATCAATAAAAAATTGATGAATTTTAAATGAATTTATTATTTTTTCAATGTTACTCGACAATAATTGACATTCAGAAATAATATAGAATTGAAAATCTGTTATATTAATTATGATATCAGGCATACAATATTGATAAATAAAATTTGCATCGACAATATATTCTTTAATCATTATATCTGAGGATGAATACATTCTATAAATTTGAAGATGAAGTTTAAATTTTTGAATATGATTTAAATTATTAAGTATCCATTTCAAATAGGCAAATTCGAAATCATTCTTAACAAAAACTTTTAAAATAAAATAGTTCAATTTTGGTACCTAGAATTGTTAGAAAAAACAAAAATCATTCTTTGAATAAATTGTTCCTATTAGAAACCAATTTTCTCAAAGCTTGATGTTTACAGAATTCATACTAATTAAAATTAAATACTCACAATTGTTAAAAACAAATTTCTAGTTTAGTCTCTTTTAGTTTTCTTCGAATGTTCTAGACACACACATGCTAGAAATGTTCCTGATGCTGCTCGTACTACGATAGTATCATTACTAGACATGTGCACAACTGGTTCCGCGAATATCCAGCCGCGACTTTGAGCCCAACGGCATCTAATACTCATACTCATTAACGAGTAGATTCAATTGATAGTTGAATATCTCAAGATGTGTTTTTTTTTGAATGATTTTAAGAACGATAAGAAGTTAATCATAATAAATTCGTCTTACTTTTTCAAACCAATTTCCATTGGATTTTATTAATGCTTCTATATTTGACTTGGATCGAGGTTCAAAATCCATTCGTCGTTTAAAAGTGACTGATAATCGTTCAATATTGGGTATATGCTCAATAAGATGTTCAAGAAAACATGTATATTTAAGACAAATATACAAATGTCGAAGTGTTAAACAACAATATTGCATTTTATTAGATATTGAACTTGTAGAACGATGAGAAGATAATATTAAACATTGATGAATATTAATAGGAGAATTATCATCAGCAATATCGAGTCGAAGACATGTTAATTGACATTTATTAGAAAAAATTTGACGTATCAATTGTTTAAGCATCATTATTTGTTTTCCTAATTTAAAACGAAATTAAATAAAATATCCCATCACTAATAGAATAAACTATTAGAAATGTTCAAATAAATTATACGTATTTATTTTACTCAGTCAACTCAAATTCATTTGATTCGTATTTCTGAGATGCGAACTATTGAAAATATACTTTCATGATGCAGTTAGACATGAGTAAGACCAATAATTTTTGATCCCCTAGGAACCGGAATCTTGCTACTTTTATCTAATTGGGCTCACTTGTCGAGCAAATCCTGACCTAAGATGTAATACAGATTTCATATTTATATGGTGTAACAATGCCCACGAAAAATAACTATAAGTTAACTTCATTATACTCACATTTCATCGTACATCAAGTTGTCTACCAAACACTAAAGTTGTGCTTTCTTTTTCAAAAAAATTTAAAAGAACTCTCAAATTTCTTCGATTTATCATATTTTTATAAAATCTTTAATAATTAATTATCAAACTTTCGATTAATTAAACAAGAATTTTCAATGGTATTCATATGAAATCAAAATATGAAACATAAAGAAGTTTGTTGTAAAACAAAAACTCGAAAATCTTTGGATCTACAGAAATCAATTAATCTAATTCAGTTGGAAATAATTCATTACTTGCATGAGGATCAATTTTCCATGGTTCTTCTGATTTTCGAATCAATTCGATCATCTCTTCGTCAAATGTTAATGTAAGTTGATTCAATTGATTTTGAATAAGTAAAGATAATGTCTGGATTATTGATTGAGATAATAAACATTGAGTTATTTTAAGTGATTTGAGATTAGGAAAACAAAGAATTTGTTTATCATTATTATAAAAAAGAAATTGATGAATAACATTATAAGAATTTGAATTTGTACCATCAAAATGAATATATTTAATAAGAGAAGAAAGAGATGAAGATTTATGAATTAATGGTAATAAGATTAATGAAAATTTTTTATATGATAAATCTAATTGATTAAAACTAATTTCATATTTATCTATTGAAAATATTGAATAAATAAGGGAATTAATACGTCTATTTAATGACCAAAATGATATTAAGATTTTATCCCATGATAAATAACAAAGTATATTAAGTAATATTTCATTTGGTAATGTTTCGAATTGACTTATCATTTTATCTTAAAATAAAAATGAAGAGAACTATTTTTTTCTATTTTGTAAATTCTCAATAAATATCAGAAAGCACAATGAAACGAGCAATCAAGATTAAAGTTCGGCTCGAAGATTATTCTCTCATACCACAAGATAGAGTTGTCACCAATCGAGAATTTTCTAAGTGGTCTAATCGAAAAAACTCTCTTACATTGATGAAAACCAGCAAAGGCTAACTACTATCCATTCAAAAATACAATGAACTCGCTTGTAACTTGAATAACTCGACAACCAAAGCAGCTAGAGATCTGCAGTTTTCAGCATTCAAAAGAGAAGAATATTTTTTATTAAACGACATAAAAACACGATTGGTTGATAATTGACCAATCAGATGAATTCTTGATGGACATTTTCAAAACAAAATTCTGAAGAGATTTCTCATTGAATTTTGAGCTTTGACATGATCATTCGATGGGAAAAATTGGGCTCTTTCGATCTACGAAAAATCGAGATCTCCGATTTTGGTTAATTGTCATTGAACAGTCAAAGAATAGATGTGCAGAGGGATAATTGACCGTGCTAAGTCGATTGGTGATATTTACTTTTAGTTGTAAAGTAATCTGAAACCACTATATTGAAATTTACACATTTCAAATTCTTCTGCCACGTATCGTAAACAGACGACATTTCAAAAATCCCAATACAGTAGTTTCAAATTACTTTGCAACTGAAAATAAATCTCACCACTCGACTCAGCATGGTTAATTACTTCTCCCAAAACCTATTCTTCGGTTGTCCAATGACAATTAACCAAAATCGGGGATGTCAGAAAAACTCTCATAACTTTCAAGCAAAATAAGATAGAAACCTCGGCTTTGCATAGATCGAAAGAGCCCAATTTTTTCTATCGAATAATCATGTCAAAATTCAAAATTCAATGAGAAATATCTCCAGGATATCGTTTTGAAAATATCCATTAAGAATTCATCTGATTGATCAATTGTCAACTAATCGTATTTTTATAAAATATTATTCTCTTTTGAATGCTGAAAATCGCAGATCTCTAGCTGCTTTGATTCCCGAATAATTCAAGTTACAACCGAGTCCATTGTATTTTTGAGTGGATAATAAATTTGATCTTTACCATAACATATATGATAAAAGTTTAGCATAAGTCACACAGTTTTGATTGTACTTTTTTCAAAAAAATGAAATAAATTTCGATTAAATTTTCATAGAACAAAAGCAGACCGGTTAAATCATTTCAAATTACCTCGATCTGGCCGGGCAAGATCAGTTACAAGTTTGACACAACGAAAGATGGAAATATAAATAGAAAGTAGCGCTAACAATAATTTTTTTTAACTACATGATTATCTTTTCAAAAAGAAAATAGATTTTTAGCGCATTGAAAATTTTACCGTTATTAAAGTTTTCATGACGATCTCAGACATTTCACTTACCATTGAATAATTCTTGATTGAAATATCAAAAAATAAACCTAATGTCATCTTAATTTAAACGAAAGAGAAAAAAAACACAATAAGAATTTTTTTTTTCCTTTTCGTTCATATTTTTTCAATATAGAAGGAAAAATAAATGCCAATTGTATCATAGAATGGCCAATAAAAAAATGATGGCGCATCTAGTCTAATATGGTCGAGAAAAATGTATCCTTCCATTCATATTTTCTTCTCTAATGAAACAATTCGACGAGAAATGTGCATTGAATGTTTTTTTTTGCTTCGTTGCCATGCTGTCGTCTTTCAATATTGACCTAAAGGAAGAAGACAAAGAATGCTCATGTAATGAACAATGTGAGAAAATAAAATAATAAACAACGATCTTTTTATTTTTTTATTTTTATCTGTATACCTGTAGTTCACACAGTCTTCAAGTTAAATATTCAGACATCGTTTCTATATTTACTCAATAGTTTCTTGAATACTAGCATTAATTCCCTACTGAACTTTGATTCATTCGATACAATATTTTTTATTTATATCATCAATGTTGCGTAACAAAAAAAAGACGAAAACAATTTGTTAATACGACTCAAACATTTACTTTCTTTTCATTAAACATCTTCAATAGTCATCCAACTATTTTTCAGGTTTAACGCAGTCATGCATATTATAGCGTCTTCGTCATACTGTGACTGTCTGATCATCTTTGAATTCTTCATTGTCTTCTTCTTCAATCAAAAAATGACAAACGATCGACATGGAAAAA